AAAATAATTATTATTAAAGATATTTTCATGAATTTATATATTCATTCTCTAAATTTTAATATAATTTATTCATATTCTTAATTTTTGATATCGTAAAAATATTATACCTATATTATGTTTCATAAATTGCATTCTAAACTTTCTATATATGCAAGAAACAATAGATTAATTCCTCGAATTCATTTGCCCAGTGCAAGTTAAATGACGAAATATTGTCGCCGCAAATAAAAATGGCCGTCAATAAATTAAATCAGTTTTAAATTCTTTACTCACGGGATTGCTCCGCCGTTGCTTGCCCCCTTTCTGGCCTGCTCCTCTTCACTCCTCTGTTTCGTCATCGCTGCTCCTTCACGGCACTCGCGTAAGACGTACCCGTGCAAATATGATTTCATTACGATCGCACACTACAATATGACGCGCAATACTTTACACGACACTCCCGACATTAATCGCGAATATTCAATTAATTACGAGCGCGGGACACTTTACACGGCACTCCCGATATTACTCGTACGCATACTTTTTACATCACGGCAGAGAAGTAATGCCAAAATTACTAATTTATGAAACTATACGATCCGCTCGACACTCGTGACATCTCGCAAATAGCGCACGAACAAAGATCACGAACGAAGGAAATTCAAGAGACGCACGTCTAACTTCGCACACTGCCCGCTATGACGATGCTATACCTGTTGCTCCTAACTCCACTTTTATGCACTTTCCCCTCTTCCTATAACAAATACCGTTTTAGGGCAATTTTTATCTTGTATTATAACGTAAAATTAAATATACAAATTCATATTAGAAATCATATGTTCATCGTTCTGTAGATAAATATCTGTATGCAATAAAATATCCAAAAATACGATCATCGCTTTACCGACTGCTCACGCGATAGATTACTATCGAATAGATCTCACGAAATACGAGTTTCGACAAATCATCGAGACCAACGCTGAATCTATTATGCAGTTGACAAATATTGAGATAGCTGGATTAATTGTATTACTTACTAATTACACACCTCGCTACGACGCTTTCGGAGTCGATTCGTTCCGTGCCCGCGACATTCCGTTAATGACCAAAAAATTCAGAAGCAGCAACTTCTCACCGATAATACGCGAGTCAAATTAAGACGCGACGGTCCGTAGATACATACATATACAATCTAAATTCAATATTGGACACGCAATATATTTCGAATGCATAAATTTCGCGAAAAGTTATTAAATTACCGATATATCACGGTTTTTTATTGTTTGTTATTCGATTTCGACTCGCGCGCGGTTTCTCTCTCTCTCTCCCCCGTCTCTCTCTCTCTCTCTTCCTCTCTCTCTTTCAATCAGAAAATTATATTTAAATCAGCGAGAAGTCAGCATGTTTTCTAGAAATAACGACGATATATACGGAATGGCTTGCGCACATGACACTACTTGCTGGCTCAAGTCTCGCTGAACGAATGACAACAAAAATATTCTCTCGTATACATATACGTTAACGCGTACACATCTACGTCACGAAACACGAGCATTGTATGTTTATCAACACGCCTCTCTCGCCGCCACGAAATATCTAACACAGTACACAAAGAAACATGTTATATTCTTCCCGTTTTCTTCCACATTAATTTCGATGAATGGACTATTAACGTACATTTCACGTTTCGTTTTCCACGTTTAACTTATTATGGTTGTCTAAGATAACCGGAAATTGTTGATGCCACGAAATGATAGAAAATTTATTTATGCTATTTAACGCGATTTAAAACACCGCTATGCTAATCTCGATCTGAAAAATTGCCACGTACGCACCGTCAAAGTATACTAAGCCGATCTACCAGAACAGCTAGACGATATTTCGACGATATTTCGTGATAATGGTTAATTGATGGTAATAAAATGCTATCTGGCTTCCACTCCGAGTCACTTAACGTTCTCGAAAACGTTTAAAGTCCTTAGAAGCGCGAAAACTATCCGCGTTATAAAATACTACCTCGCTCCGCTTCTTATTATAACATTATTCTCGTTCTCCTTCATTAGCTACACCATAAACGACATTTTTTACTATTTTCGGGATAAGTAAGAGATGTATTTTGTTCTACCTTTTCCCCCCGTCCGTCTTCCTTCTCTTCCGTTCCTCTTCTCGACGCGCTGCAACGATCATGTCTGAATTAATTTTGGTTCGATACGCGTAGTAAATCGTAATCCATTTATCTTGAGGACGAGTTGTTACGCCGTAACTTTCTGCCCTTAGCGATAGCAGGGAACAGGGCATTATTATTTGCGCGGATATCAGATCCCAGTCTTTGCATAAAGCACGTGAGTGGCAGTAGCAATATCGAACATATGATTAAACGGATAAGATTATCGGCGTTCGTCGCATAAAAGATCGATTTATGTATCTAAGAAACGATGAATGTCTGATCTTATAAATTAATAACTTTAAATATAATTTGTCATTTTCTCATAAAAAAGAGAGAGGAAGAGAGGGAGAGAGAAGGAGAGAAAGAAAGAAAAAGCGTGCACGAAGTAAAATGCCAGATCGAATATTTCAAGCGATGGAAAACTGTGATATATCGGTAAAATTTTCTATCATTTCGTGGCATCAACGATTTCCGGTTATCTTAGACAACCATAATAAGTTAAACGTGGAAAACGAAACGTGAAATGTACGTTAATAGTCCATTCATCGAAATTAATGTGGAAGAAAACGGGGAGAATATAACATGTTTCTTTGTGTACTGTGTTAAATATTTCGTGGCGGCGAGAGAGGCGTGTTGATAAACATACAATGCTCGTGTTTCGTGACGTAGATGTGTACGCGTTAACGTATATGTATACGAGAGAATATTTTTGTTGTCATTCGTTCAGCGAGACTTGAGCCAGCAAGTAGTGTCATGTGCGCAAGCCGTTCCGTATATATCGTCGTTATTTCTAGAAAACGTGCTGACTTCTCGCTGATTTAAATATAATTTTCTGATTAAAAGAGAGAGAGAGAGAGAGAGAGAGAGAGAGAGAGAGAGAGACAGACAGAGAGAGAAAGAGAGACGGGGAGAGAGGGAGAGAGAGAGAAACCGCGCGCGAGTCGAAATCGAATAAAGCAATAAAAAACCGTGATATATCGGTAATTTAATAACTTTTCGCGAAATTTATGCATTCGAAATATATTGCGTGTCCAATATTGAATTTAGATTGTATATGTATGTATCTACGGACCGTCGCGTCTTAATTTGACTCGCGTATTATCGGTGAGAAGTTGCTGCTTCTGAATTTTTTGGTCATTAACGGAATGTCGCGGGCACGGAACGGATCGACTTCGAAGGCGGCGTAGCGAGGTGTGTAATTAGTAAGTAATACAATTAATCCAGCTATCTCAATATTTGTCAACTGCATAACAGGTTCAGCGTTCGTATCAATGATTTGTCGAAACTCGTATTTCGTGAGCTTTATTCGACAGGAATCTATCGCGCGAGCAGTCGGCAAAGCCGACGATGATCGTATTTTTGGATATTTTATTGCATACAGATATTTATCTACAGAACGATGAACATATGATTTCTAATATGAATTTGTATATTTAATTTTACGTTATAATACAAGATAAAAATTGCCCTAAAACGGTATTTGTTATAGGAAGAGGGGAAAGTGCATAAAAGTGGAGTTAGGAGCAACAGGTATAGCATCGTCATAGCGGGCAGTGTGCGAAGTTAGACGTGCGTCTCTTGAATTTCCTTCGTTCGTGATCTTTGTTCGTGCGCTATTTGCGAGATGTCACGAGTGTCGAGCGGATCGTATAGTTTCATAAATTAGTAATTTTGGCATTACTTCTCTGCCGTGATGTAAAAAGTATGCGTACGAGTAATATCGGGAGTGCCGTGTAAAGTGTCCCGCGCTCGTAATTAATTGAATATTCGCGATTAATGTCGGGAGTGTCGTGTAAAGTATTGCGCGTCATATTGTAGTGTGCGATCGTAATGAAATCATATTTGCACGGGTACGTCTTACGCGAGTGCCGTGAAGGAGCAGCGATGACGAAACAGAGGAGTGAAGAGGAGCAGGCCAGAAAGGGGGCAAGCAACGGCGGAGCAATCCCGTGAGTAAAGAATTTAAAACTGATTTAATTTATTGACGGCCATTTTTATTTGCGGCGACAATATTTCGTCATTTAACTTGCACTGGGCAAATGAATTCGAGGAATTAATCTATTGTTTCTTGCATATATAGAAAGTTTAGAATGCAATTTATGAAACATAATATAGGTATAATATTTTTACGATATCAAAAATTAAGAATATGAATAAATTATATTAAAATTTAGAGAATGAATATATAAATTCATGAAAATATCTTTAATAATAATTATTTTATTTTGTGATATTTAGAAAAATGTCTTCATATTTTAGAAATGTGTTGGTAAACATATTGCAGTTCTCGATAATAATGAGCTCACATATATCATATTACATTACATCACTAGCGTGCGAATCTAACTTTTGCACAGATTCCTGTCGAAAGACGTCCTCCTTATGTGACATCTGGGTTACATATATATTATAATAATATCTTTCAGAGAAATGTTTTATTTTTCCTTTGTTCTTACATGTGGAATCAAATATTATAAACAACAATGCAAATTTTAATCGAAATAAATTCACTTAAAAAGAAGATTCAAATAAACAAATTATCATATATCACAACGTATTTCGAATAATCAGAACGGCTATCATTTATAGAAAAAATCATATTATATTTTGTGTATATACAATATTGCTTGGAGAAACATTATAAATTATAAAAAAAACTAAATATATATTAAATATAATTAATATAAT